AAAATAAAGAAAAAATAATCAAACAAACTCAACCTAAAATACTACAGTATAGTCTCGATTTACGCGGATTTGGTTTACGCGTTTGGTCATTTAAGCGGCACCTGGCCAGACCGACAATTTTTATTTACACGGTTCATTCCATCATTTACGCGGCAAGCGGCGCAGGTAGGGTGCACACAAGGTCACCCAGTCAACAAAACATTACCGAGTTCTTCACCCGCCACCCACCACAGCCAGCCCAAGTCAGTGATAGTGAGGATATGGACTTTGAGGGGTTTGACAAAGAGGCCCTGCAAGCCTCTGTGGTGGATAGTGATACAAGTGATACAGGTGAGGGCCAATAATCTGCCCTCTGCCTCGGAACCAACCCCCCCATCCCCGTGTGCCCAGCCATCTTTTCTACTAACGCAAGTGCTAAAAAACCTAATATTATTGATATTTCTCTTAAATATTAATTGTGTGTACATACCATCATAAAATTAAGATGTTATTTTTACTACAATGTACTATTGTGTCGGAAAAAGTGTAGTTTGGGGGTCGGCCCAGTCTCTATTTCAATTAATCCATATGTTCTGTTATTTCGTTTATGCATTTCTTGTTTTACGCGGACCTCCACGGGTTCAATTGACCGCGTAAATGAAGACTATTCTGTATACTGTAGTTAATTTCCTAAAGTAAAATTTGTGTGTGCAAAAAGAACGATTCCTGCAATTTAAACTTGGTGCACATGGCAAGGTCGTGTTTGCCATTTTTCCCCTGCTGATTTCTGATGTAAGAAGTGATATTACATAAAGCGCATTCTCTGTGCACCTTTGTCACTTTCTCAAGGTAGGGAAGCTTTTATCTTCTAAGGTGAAACTTGTTTAAGTTGGTGCTAAGGGCAGACCACTGTCATCAAGTACAGCTGTCCCTTGTGTGAGTCAACGTGAATATTGATAATGCTGAGGAATTAAATCCAATCTGTATTATCAGTCACAAACTGTAAAAGTTGTTTATTCCACTTCACCCAGGATATGTGATGTCACATCCACGAGCCGGGTCTGCAGTATTGGCTTCATACCTCAATGACGACAGGACGTACAGACAGCTCAAAAACTTCAAGGCATCATTTCATGTTTAACAGTAGTGTACACTCCTGCATTTTTTCAATACATCATCAGTAAATTGACATAAAATAACACTGAAATGAAAGACCAACATCCAAAAGCAAATACTGTACAACAGTCCCTTATACTGTGGCATATGTAACTACTAGTACAGTACTATACAGTAGTGTACATCTGTGATGCCCCTCAGGTGAGAACAGTCATGTTTATTTTTATATTTCCTGCCAATTTTATCATTCACAAAGACACATTGCACCTCCCAGTAGACCATTTCAAGCCACACTACCCACACCTCAAAAGGGCTCTCAGTTGCCTTTGTTATTAGTGGTAGTCTACCTCTGCCACGTCCCCCTTGTGACTCTGCCCCTACACACACACACACCTAAAAACACTACACTACGGCTGAACAAATGTATGTGCAGTACTGTACGCTACTGTAAATTACAGGTACAATATTTAATTTTTCGGTTTTTTTTATTCTTCTGCATGAATATTTTTAAATCTATACAAATATAACATGTTTTTAACCCTTTCTATGTGAATCTTGACTAGATATCTGTAACCCCAGTACAAGATCGTTTTGCAATAAATAATAGTATCTTACCACAATTTGAATTTAACACACAATACAGTAATAAAATACTGTACATACAGAAAAATATTTTCATCTTCATAGGTTATGATCTGACATTACCAGTCAGGTCAAATTACCTGTTACTGTCAGTCAGGTCATGTTACCTGACATTATCAAAGTGAGGTGGGATTACCAGAAGTAGTGTAGGGGATTAGAGATACAGTACAGAACTCAGGTCATCTGACACTGGTAGACCTAGAGCTAATTTGTGGGCCTCATGACCACCTCCCTACATGCCAGCTGATCAAACAGTATCAATCTATCTGGCAAAAAACAATCAAAGTATGGGCAGGAAAATTATTATATACCATACCAGCAATCACACTGGCATCGTTTACTGCATATGGTGTGGCAATCGCATTGAAAGGGTTAGCTAACAGTTTTAATAGTCACGTTTACTGCACTGTACAACAAGCAATAAGTCGGGTTTTCAATAATCTGTGTAAGGGTTAACCACTGTAAAACAAAGACTAGAAGGTATATGTACATTAGGCTGGTTCAATTACAATTCTGGTGACATTTAACCCTTGAGAACCAGTATACAAATAAAATACATTTTAACTTGTATACATTTTGACTACTATGTAACATGAACTTAGGTGAGGTCATGCATTGTTATTTTCACATTGTTAAGACGATCAGTGATACAACAAATGTAGTCTCTGACTGGAGTGGCATCATGACATAAAGAAGTGTACTGTACTGGGTCACACTTTGTAGTTACTTAACTCTTAAATGGTGGCTAAAGGTTACCTAATGTGTCCATACTGTATGTGTAAAATTTAGAAAAATAAAAAATTAATGTACTCTGATGATGGCCACCGTCCCTACAGCTAACATCCACTGATGATGACCACCGTCCCTACAGCTAACTTCCACTGATGATGACCACCGTCCCTACAGCTAACTTCCACTGATGATGACCACCATCCCTACAGCTAACTTCCACTGATGATGGCCACCGTCCCTACAGCTAACATCCACTGATGATGGCCACCGTCCTTACAGCTAACTTCCACTGATGATGACCACCATCCCTACAGCTAACTTCCACTGATGATGGCCACCGTCCCTACAGCTAACTTCCACTGATGATGGCCACCGTCCCTACAGCTAACTTCCACTGATGATGGCCACCGTCCCTACAGCTAACATCCACTGATGATGACCACCATCCCTACAGCTAACTTCCACTGATGATGGCCACTGTCCCTACAGCTAACATCCACTGATGATGGCCACCGTCCTTACAGCTAACTTCCACTGATGATAGCATCTGTTTGAGGGTTAAGAAACAGCTAGTAAGCCACGAGTTTCACACCACTTTACTCAACTAAATTTAGGAGGGGCAAATCAGTGTGTTCCGACAAAGATCTACTGTAGTTCACTTATGGTCTTCATCAACACAGTGAAGCATAAGAGACACAGGACAGTCCACTTGATAATTACCGATAGTGCTGTACATTGTCCCTTGTTGACAAGTCTTACATCTGATCCATTAACAAAAACATCATTTATCACTACTGTACAAGTTAAGTGAATCACTGACATAAACCTAACCCATGACTTAACACACCTTGGATAATGCTGGTTAAGTTTGGTTTGTTCTGGAGGCCAACCTGAGGGACTTCTCAAACTACTGTACAGTACACAGTTCTTTTCTTGTTTTACTGTACAGTGTTGCATTTCAATAAAATTATGAAATTCCTACAGCAAAATAATCAGGAATAAGCCAAGATTTTAACCATTGTTTCATAAATATCTCGAAGCTTTATTCTAAATCAAATGATAATGTTTACTGTGTCTAAACATTCAAAGCAAAATTCTTTGGAGTTCTTCCCCCCCCCCCACCATGGTGCCTTGAACTCATTAAAACAAACAAATTCATAAAAAAATAGATAACAGTATATATGATCACATGAAAAAATAATATTTATAATGCAGTTTTTCACGGTGAATACAGTGCTGGTAATGAGAGTTTGAGGAAAAGCATTGTCACGGACTTACGACCCTTCCTGCACTGACAAACTTAACCCTACCAGAGGTGACCAGGGCTTTGAAACAGAAGGAAAATGTGGGGTTAAAAACATAATACAAGAACCTAACCTAACCATACCAGAGGTGACCAGGGCTTTGAAACAGAAGGAAAATGTGGGGTTAAAAACATAATACAAGAACCTAACCTAACCATACCAGAGGTGACCAGGGCTTTGAAACAGAAGGAAAATGTGGGGTTAAAAACATAATACAAGAACCTAACCTAACCATACCAGAGGTGACCAGGGCTTTGAAACAGAAGGAAAATGTGGGGTTTAAAACATAATACAAGAACCTAACCTAACCATACCAGAGGTGACCAGGGCTTTGAAACAGAAGGAAGAATGAAACAGAAGGAAAATGGGGTTTAAAACATAATACAAGAACCTAACCTAAACCAGAGGTAGGGCCAGAGGTGACCAGGGCTTTGAAACAGAAGGAAAATGTGGGGTTAAAAACATAATACAAGAACCTAACCTAACCATACCAGAGGTGACCAGGGCTTTGAAACAGAAGGAAAATGTGGGGTTTAAAACATAATACAAGAACCTAACCTAACCCTACCAGAGGTGACCAGGGCTTTGAAACAGAAGGAAAATGTGGGGTTTAAAACATAATACAAGAACCTAACCTAACCATACTAGGAAATCAACATCCTAGTTATGGTATTGTAGGCTCTGGTGTTTGTGGAATAATAACCACTAGTTCTGATAACTCTCACCCATTACAGTCCCTCATGGTGGTCAGGTAAAGTCATAACCAATATAACTAATTACTGCTTCAACTAAGGCTGTTAAGGGGGTATCGAGGTTAGTAATCACACTACAGTAGTCAATCAACGTCTGTACAAGTCTTTACATATTGACTGGTGGTTACAGTTAATAATGTGTTTTATAATTATCACCCAAATTGAGCACCATTATGTATGTATGTACGTGTGTGTATGTATGTATGTATGTGTGTGTGATGCTGACAACTACAACATTGGTACACACACACACCAATAACTAAACCTTAACTATGTGTCACAGTTTTACACAACACCAGAGTAAGACAATATTAAACCTTAACCATTAACAAAAGCTCGTGTCAATTATCATTAACACCAACAATAACCATCAACCCTGGGCCATTAACACCAACAATAACCCTGATATTAACCACCAACCCTGGGCCATTAACCACAGTTTAGTCATTACATTAACCACAATATTAATCCTCACCTAGTCTCAGCTCGCCAAAGTTACCACAGCCAATCTTCTTGCCGACTCTAAAGTTTGGCCCGACAAATAGTTCTAAGGAGTTGGAGGAGGAGGATGTCCTAGAGCCAGGCTGCATGGTGGTGCCCGTCCTGTTGGCGGTACTGGCCCGGGACACCCGTCTGGAGGCCGGGTCTTGGTCCTCCTTGTTCCCTCCACCGCCACCCCGCTCACGTCTTTCACCCTTCTGCATCCTATCCTCCTTAGGCCCCCGCCCACCTCAGCCTCGCTCAGCCCCACTCAGCTCCAGTTTAACCAGCATGTAACTGCCGTCTCCGCCAGCCAGCCAGCGAGCCGCCGCCGCTGCTAGCCTTAACACACTCTCCCACCACCACCACTCACTTCACCTCACCTTTCTCCATCTTACCCCAGTGATAGCCACACCATTTTCATGTTTTATACCATCAAGATGCACAGACTTCACTAAAATACACTTTTCTTTTTAATCACAACACTATTAGGTGAGTATCGCGTAATTTATATTGGTTGTAGCAGACAGACCACAGAGTGACACCTCGAGCCGCGAGCTCTGGCAAATCTTTTTAACGCGGATCGATACACATCTAACCCAAATTACCATCCGAACACAAATCAAAGTGCTATTTTAAATATATTTCTGACTCATATTTACTATATTTATTAATTATAAAGTATATTCTGTAGTCTTGGAAGTTAAAAGTTTCCGTTTATATTTTAAATTGGGAGATAGAGTCTAGTCATTATGGTTCTCAGTAACCTCTGACCACCTGATTCACCCAAAATAAATAGAAATAATCACCAAAGTGCTTATAATCTACGAGTTCCCAATATGTTTTGTGCACTTATTTTATATTGTTTGACTAATAATCACAAATAAGTTCACGTTAACTTGAATTATCCAGTTTGATTGTTAGAGGGAACTAAGTTGTGCAGCGGAGTAAGATGGTGCTGAGGTCGGTCAGTTGCCAGACGTTCCTTTCCTCTTGTCTCATAAAAATAATGCCGGTCTGCTGCAAAATAATCCTAGGCGTCAAATTTTACTAAATATCTCTGTGGGCTTATACAGAGGTGACCTAAATAGAAAATCTAGGATCATATAGTTTATACTCATCAAATCATTATGTAAACTAATTAAAACTATTTCCTGAAACCTAAAACTGATACTGTCATAACACTAGTAATATTTTAAGCTTAGGATTATTTTGCACCGTCTTCCCCGCCCCTAATATTTATAATACCGTGGGCGTAACTTTCACTTTTTATTAAAGATCATACAAAATTAATTATATTTGCATAATTAGTGTACGTTTTGTAAGTATTCCATCAACAAACATTATTTCTAAGGCAGTTTTTTTTTACATTTTCGAAAACCAACGTTTGTTTGTTTGGAGTGCTGAGTCATGTGCGATATATTTATAGAGTAATATATATATATATATATATATTGAATATTTCACTACTTATACATCACAGTAAACCACAACAGAGAATTCCATCAATAAAGAGTTTAGAAGCTTGAAATATATACTTTAAAAAGCACATTTGACTAAAACAGTAAACAATTTGTATTACATATGTCAAGATCGGTTTTGTATTAAAGAAAAATAATTAAATATTTAATATCTCCAAGTGAATCGATAAATAAAACTTGGGCCATAGATAAATAAGCAATAGGTAGAGTTGAGTATTATGATAGATATTTGTGCGGCATAATCATCTTTCAAGTTCACAATGGTTCTCCATGTGCATGAACAATGTAGGTATACAAACAATTTGCTTAGACAGTGATGGTATACTACACACAGTACAGTTATACACAATATAAAACAGACAGTTATTCACAAGACAGTCAAGGTCATTCATATCATCTTAATTTTACACCATAAGATGTACCCAAAATTCCTTCGATATACATTTGCTATATTTACAGTATATACCGTAAAGTCTGGAGTATAATAATGAAAAAATAAGATTAAATTATTGGAAATATATATATATGTTCGAATGTTAATGATAAATAACTGTATAGAATTAATATTATCAGTTACAAAAAAAGGCTTTCGTTTAAGCCCTTTGGTGCCGCCATATGATTGTATTTACAGAGGGATTTTTTATTATAGGCCTACATATAAAATAATTATCAACCCAAACATTATTATTAAATCTATATATATATTTAAATAATTTATATATAATAAATCATTATGTTTATATAAATTTTTTGCTAATAATTTGACTAAAGAGATATTTTGTGAGGAGAAGATGTTAAAATATCCGTAACTATTTGAATTAAGTTAAAACACTAGACTAACAACAACAAAATCTTGAATTTCTTCCAAAAACAACCTTAACCCCAATAACTTAATAAACATTTCAGAAGACAAATTAAACAAATAGAATCAATGACGCTAATAGTGGCGCTGGTGACGGATAGGTAGACAGATAGATGACACTTAGATGGATGAATTGAAGAATGGATGGATGAATGGATGGATGAATGGATGGATGGATAGGTGGACGGCTAGATGTAGGATAGATACATACATACATACACACAAAGCACTTAGATGGATGGACAGATAGATAGATAATCAATCAGCTGTTTAATCTTAAAGTGAAATAAATTGGGGTGTCTAATCTTACAGTGACCAATGAGTTTACAAATGGTTCAGCATGTGTATTGGCAATGGATGTATACAGTGTGCAATAGACAGTGAAGGTATACAATATACATTATTCAGAGTCAGTCGGGATATACAAACAATGTACCTAGACAGTGTAGGTGTATAAACAATGTACCTAGACAACGCAGATATACAAACAATGTACCTAGACAGTGTGGCATAAAAATGTACCTAGACAACGCAGATATACAAAATAATGTACTGACAGTGAAAGTATACAAACAATGTAACAGACAGTGTAGGTATACAACACGTACTAGACAGTGTAGGTATACACAAACAATGTACTAGACAGTGTAGGTATACAAACAATGTACCTAGACAACGCAGATATACAAACAATGTACCTAGACAGTGTAGGTGTATAAACAATGTACCTAGGACAACGCAGGTATACAAAACAATGTAACGGACAGTGTAGGTATACAAACAATGTAATGTAGACAGTGTAGGTATACAAACAATGTACCTGACAGTGTAGGTATACAAAACAATGCACCTAGACAACGCAGATATACAAACACGGTACTGACAGTGCATAAGCAAACAATGTACCTAGACAGTGTAGGTATACAAACAATGTACCTAGACAACGCAGATATACAAACAATGTACCTAGACAGTGTAGGTATACAAACAATGTACCTAGACAGTGTAGGTATAAACAATGTACCCAGACAGTGTAGGTATATGTTAATGTACCTAGACAACGCAGATATACAAATAATGTACCTGGACAGTGTGTAGGTATACAAACAATGTACTCTAGACAACGCAGATATACAAACAATGTACCTGGACAGTGTAGGTATACAAACAATGTACCTAGACAACGCAGATATACAAACAATGTAATTTAGACAACGTAGGCATACAAACAATGTACCTGACAGTGTAGGGCCAAACAATGTACCTAGACAACGCAGATATACAAACAATGTACCTAGACAGTGTAGGTATATACAAACAATGTAACAGACAATGCAGATATACAAACAATACCTGGACAGTGTAGGTATACAAACAATGCCTAGACAGTGTAGGTATACAAACAATGTACTGGACAGTGTAGGTATACAAAACAATGCAATGTAGACAACGCAGATATACAAAACAATACCTGGACAGTGTAGGTATACAACAATGTACCTAGACAGTGTAGGTATACAAAACAATGTACCTAGACAGTGTAGGTATACAAACAATGTACTCTAGACAACGCAGATATACAAACAATGTACCTAGACAGTGTAGGTATACAAACAATGTAATGACAGTGTAGGTATACAAACAATGTACCTAGACAACGCAGATATACAAACAATGTAACGGTAGATATGTAGGGCATAATAAACAATGTACCCAGACAGTGTAGGCATACAAACAATGTACCTAGACAACGCAGATATACAAAACAATACCTAGACAGTGTAGGTATACAAACAATGTACCTAGACAACGCAGATATACAAAACAATGTACCTAGACAGTGTAGGTGTATAAACAATGCACCTAGACAACGCAGGTATACAAAACAATGCACGTAGACAGTGTAGGTATACAAAACAATGTACAGACAACGCAGATATACAAACAATGTACCTAGACAGTGTAGGTGTATAAATAATGTACCTAGACAACGCAGATATACAAACAATACCTAGACAGTGTAGGTATACAAACAATGTACCTAGACAATGCAGGATATACAAACAATGTAATGGCAGTGTAGGTACAAACAATGTACCTAGACAACGCAGATATACAAACAATGTACTCAGACAGTGCAGGTATACAAACAATGTACTCAGGACAACGCAGATATACAAACAATGTACCTAGACAGTGTAGGTATACAAACAATGTACCTAGACAACGCAGATACAAACAATGTAACGGACAGTAGGTATACAAAACAATGTACCTAGACAGTGTAGGTATACAAACAATGTACCTAGACAACGCAGATATACAAACAATGTACCTAGACAGTGTAGGTATACAAACAATGTACCTAGACAGTGTAGGTATACAAACAATGTACCTAGACAACGCAGATATACAAACAATGTACCTAGACAGTGTAGGTATACAAACAATGTACCTAGACAACGCAGATATACAAACAATGTACCTAGACAGTGTAGGTATACCACGCCTAGACAGCAGTATACAAACAATGTACCTAGACAACGGTATATACAAACAATGTAATACCTAGACAGTGTAGGTATACAAACAATGTACCTAGACAACGCAGAGATATACAAACAATGTACCTAGACAGTGTGTATACAAACAATGTACCTAGACAACGCAGAGTATACAAATAATGTACCTGACAGTGTAGGTATACAAAACAATGTACCTAGACAGTGTAGGTATACAAAACAATGTACCCAGACAACGCAGATATACAAACAATGTACCTAGACAGTGTAGGTATACAAAACAAATGTACTGACAACGCAGATATACAAACACGTAATGTAGACAGTGTAGGTATACAAACAATGTGTACTTAGACAACGCAGATATACAAACACGTACTAGACAGTGTAGGTATACAAACAATGTAACAGACAGTGTAGGTATACAAAACAATGTACTGAAAACGCAGATATACAAACAATGTACCTAGACAGTAGGTATACAAACAATGTACCTAGACAACGCAGATATACAACAATGTACCCAGACAGTGTAGGTATACAAACAATGTACCTAGACAGTGTAGGTACAAACAATGCACAACGCAGATATACAAACAATGTACTAGACAGTGTAGGTATACAAATAATGTACTAGACAATGCAGATATACAAACACGTACTAGACAGTGTAGGTATAAAACAATGTACTCTAGACAACGCAGATATACAAACAAT